ATAGGACTGAAAAGAAGAATTAGGGGAGTTAGTGTTAGAGATGAGGGCAGAGAAAGAGGCTGGAGGTGATCCAGAGGGAATGGACCAGGTTTGGGAATGATAGCCTCTCTCAACTTTCTGCACATGGGCAAAGAAAGCCTGTGATGGAGCTGGAGATCCAGGAGTTTGAGCAGTCTTTGCCTTTAGGATACACCTGTGAAATCTGCTGGCACATCCTCTCATTTTGAGGTTCCTGCAATTCACTACTGACCTATTTCTCTGCCATGCTCCAGTGCTACCGTGTTGTCATGGCCAAGGGATGCAGCTTGTCTGGTGTTTAACTGGGTCCAATATATGTCACATACTTGATTTTGGGGTAGGAAGAAGAAGAATTTATGAGAGAGGCATTGCACTAAGCACTGTATTAAAAAAAAAGCACTGCAAATATGACCATCAGGATTGCCAATGCACTTTGAATTCAGCCCTGTCTCTGTGTGTAGTACAATCTAAATGAAATGATTACACAGATTATTATCTTGCTCCCCAGCTCAAACACAAGAAAGTCATTAAGTCCCTACCCCAAAAAGCTTCCAGTCTCAGGAAAATCTGAAAAAGGGGGCATGAAGGGAGCCACCCCAGCAGGAAGGAGGTGGGGAGGGAGCGCTGGTGAGAAAGAGCATGAATAGAGCATCAACATTTACAACTGGATTATTTTTTTTCCTCAAGTCAGAGTAATATTGAGAAAATAGATAAAAATAATTTAAGCAAGAAACAAGTTTCACAAGCTCCATCTGTCCATCTGTCTCATTAATGTGAGCAGGTTGATGAGCACAGGTTGCCGCAGACCTCTCAGGACCAGAGGAGCATAAAGGATGTTCTCAACGGGGGTCTCTGGGGTGAGGGGTAACATGGAGAGAGATCTCGAGGGGCTGGAGCGAGGAAGAGGAGGGCAACGAGGCTGGGGAAGGGCCTGGGGAATAAATCCTGTGAGGAGCCATTGAAGGAGCTGGGGCTGTTCAGTGTGAGGAGGAGAAGGCTGAGGGGAGACCTCATCACTCTCTACAGCTCCCTGAAAGGACATTGCAGAGAGGCTGGTGCTGGTCTCTTCTCACAGGGGATTAGTGACAGAACAAGAGGGAACGGCTTTAAACTGCAACAGGGGAGGGTCAGACTGGACATGAGGAGAAAATGTTTCCCAGAAAGAGTGGTCAGAGAGTGGAACAGGCTGCCCAGGGAGGGGGTGGAGTCCCCATCCCTGGGTGTGTTTAAGGGTCGTTTGGATGAGCTGTGGGGGGATGTGGTGTAGGGGAGAACTTTGTAGTGTCAGACTGAGGGTTGGACTCGATGATTCCAAGGGGCTTTTCCAACCTGAATGACTCTGGGATTCTGTGATTAAGGGCTGAGGAGGCTTCTGGGAGAGACACCAACAGAGGCTCCACCAACACACAAGGCAAGGCAACAGGGAAGGTTTCAACGCTGGAAGATAAAGATGTGAATCAGAACAACGGTGCTTTTGTGGGTAAAGCACTGGATTCCCCCTGCTGAATTCCCCCTATCTTAGAGGAGGGGGCAGGTGCAAGGTAATGTCTCTTTGTCCATCTGTGATTGCCTATTGCATCAAATGATGACATCTGGTTTAGTCCTGACATACCAAAGGATATGGCAGTAGTGCCTTGTGGTTGCAGCATCCTAGAGCTGATGTGGGCTGGCCACAATCCTTCAGGAATCACCTACAAACAAACTGCATTTTTAAAAAAATGCTAAAAATGAAGCTAAAATGCCTCCAGCTCTTTGCAGCTCTCTAGCCCCACTGTGAGGAGCCGCGCTCACCAGCCATTCCTGCCCAGCTCACAACTCCCACAGCCCTCACTAGACAGAACTAGCCTCACAGCACATGCTTTTCCCTCCATTTTCAATGTACACACGAGTGTGGGTGTGTTGGACCCTTTCCAAGCTCACAGCTAAAAAGCTTCTACTGGGGATGGGTGGGAGGTCTTCCCCCTCCCTTGTCTGCTCCGGACACAGTTAGCAAATGCCTTTCCCTGAAGGTGAGCAGTATGGGATGGACAACAGCAGAACTGTACACATGTAATATAAGCATGATAAATGGAGTCTGTGTCACACTATTTTGGAGCTCCCAAGGGGACAAGGGAGCTGTAGAGCCCTTCATGGGTCATTTGGTCTATAGCCTGGCAGCTATGTCCTCCTCCAAGGACACCTGTGAAAGTGTCATCTGTAGGGACTAGGCAGTGATTCATCACACTCATCCAGTACCACCCACCGATCAGCCTTGGGGTAGTCACGGCCTTGGTTAAAGGCCTTGGTGCTATTTAGTCCCATCTGGGCGCTTTCATCATCCCCAGCCAGGCTAAAACTGATACCCTCACACCCCTCATAGGCATGAGTGCTCTCTGTAGCAATCCTCCCTCCCACCACCCTTACCCACAAAGAGATGAGCTTGGATTGCTGCATTCAGAAGAGACCATCCTAGGCAGCCAGAGTCCCGAGGCATGCTTGTTAAGGTAACTGATCTCTTCAACAGAAATAAATAAGCTGCTCTCTGCAGTACCTCCTCCTTTTCTTGCCCACCTACAAGTTATCTGGTGGCCACCCTGACTAGCGGGTGCATAAAGGGGAAGGGCATTTTCCCTCCTCCCTGCTGGGGTCACAGTGCTGCTCCTGCGGCTCTTGAATGCCTGGGAAGCGGGTCCTGCAGCTGAACTTCCCTCATCATCCTCTATAGCTCCCTGAAAGGAGGTTGCAGAGAACTGGGGATGAGTCTCTTGCACCAAGGAACCAGTGCCAGGCCAAGAGGCGCCAGGGCAGGGTCAGACTGGCTCTTAGGAAGTATTTCTTTGCAGAAGGGGTTGTTGGGCGTTGGAATGGGCTGCCCAGGGCAGGGGGGGAGTCCCCATCCCTGGAGGGGTTGAGGAGTCGGGTTGACCCAGCGCTGAGGGATCTGGTGGAGCTGGGAACGGTCAGGGTGAGGTTCATGGTTGGGCTGGTGGAGCTTCAAGGGCTTTTCCAACCCAGATTATTCTGTGATTCTGTGATTCCTGCACCTTCGCCGCAACCTGCAGCAAGCCCCGCTGGCTGTGCCAGTGCGGATGGTGGGCACAGCCGAACCCTGGGAGAGAGAAGGCCCACTGGGTTCATTCGTAGCTACAGACCCCTCCAAGGGCCCACAGCCTGAGGAAACCTGGGCCTCAGACACCAGCTCAGACCTCAAGGGAAGCCCCATTTTGGACTTGTGGGATCACGCTTTGGCCGTGGTCGATCTGGGGTGCTGCGTCCACAGGCACCATCCCAGCAGGAGAAGGACATTTCCCAAACATCACTTCATCTCCTCCCCGGTTACCCAGCACTCTTCCATCTCAGGTTTAAGGTAGGTTATTTAAAGATTTTAATTGCAAAGTTTCTACACCCCCCCCCAGCCACACGCTCGCTTGCAGCATCTCCCAAAGGGGTTGGTTTGCTTCTTCGCCTCCAGCCCCACCATAACACGGGGGCGTCGGGGCGCCGATTTGGGGTTCCCAGCTCTCTCCTTCACAGCGCCTCCCGGCAGAAGCAGGTCAGCCCCTCCGCTGAGCACACCCTCCGCTGAGCACACCCTCCGCTGAGCACACCCTCCGAAATCAGCCGAGACCCCTCCGGTGGGTCCCTTCGGGAGAGACGCAACCTCTCGGGCGCTTGAGGACGGGATGGGGAGCGCAGCCCCCGGCCCCGCT